CTCCGGGGGGTGCGGGATCCCCGGGAGGCAGAGCTGGCGGGGGATCCGTAGAGCGGCGGGAGCGATACTGGGGGGGCATTGGGGCTTATCTGGAGGTGAGACCGGGCTGGCCACGCTGTGGAACGGGAGCTTGGAGGGGAGCCGGGGGCCTGGCAGAAGAGGTGGGAGACGGGGTCGGGTGGGGGTGGAGGTGAGGTCTGCTCTGTTGGTGAGATCCCGAGGTGCGTAGTTTGGAGGTGGTTTAAACCAGGCCGGAGTGGGGAGACTTGGGGGCCGGTCCAGAGATGGTTGGCCAGTGGGAGGCAGTGAGTTAGGAGCCAGGACGGGGTGGGCAGGAGGCTAGGTGGCAGGTTCAGTAGGCATAGCCAGGTGGGCTGAGGTGTGAGGAGGCTAGTGGAGAGAAGTGAGGTAGGGCCCAGAGGGAAGAGTCCCAAGTGAGGCCAGCACCGGGTGAGGGTGACCCAGGGTGAGAGGGTCGCAGGGAGGGGACCCAAAGTGAGGCCTGCTTTGGGGCACTCGGTGTGGTCAGAGGGGCATTCCCCATGGGGGAGTCCCCTCCCCGGGTGCCGCTGGAGCCATGCTGTCCCGCAAGGGCATCATCCCCGAGGAGTATGTGCTGACCCGGCTCGCGGAGGACCCTGCGGAGCCCCGATACCGAGCCCGTGAGCGGCGGGCCCGCTTCGTGTCCAAGAACGGCAACTGCAACGTGGCCCACAAGAACATCCGCGAGCAGGGCCGCTTCCTGCAGGACGTGTTCACCACGCTGGTGGACCTCAAGTGGCCGCACACCCTGCTCATCTTCACCATGTCCTTCCTGTGCAGCTGGCTGCTCTTCGCCATGGTCTGGTGGCTCATCGCCTTCGCGCATGGCGACCTGGCCGCCGGGGAGGGCAGCCCCGTGCCCTGCGTCACCAGCATCCACTCCTTCTCCTCCGCCTTCCTGTTCTCCATCGAGGTCCAGGTGACCATCGGTTTTGGCGGGCGCATGGTGACCGAGGAGTGCCCGCTGGCCATCCTGATCCTCATCCTGCAGAACATCGTGGGGCTCATGATCAACGCCATCATGCTGGGCTGCATCTTCATGAAGACCGCCCAGGCCCACCGGCGGGCCGAGACCCTAATCTTTAGCAAGCACGCGGTCATCGCCCTGCGCCAGGGCCGCCTCTGCTTCATGCTGCGCGTGGGCGACCTCCGTAAGAGCATGATCATCAGCGCCACCGTCCACATGCAGGTGGTGCGCAAGACCACCAGCCCCGAGGGCGAGGTGGTGCCCCTCCACCAGGTGGACATCCCTATGGAGAACGGTGTCGGGGGCAACAGCATCTTCTTGGTGGCTCCGCTCATCATCTACCACGTCATTGATGCCAACAGCCCGCTCTACGACCTGGCGCCCAGCGACCTGCACCATCACCAGGACCTGGAGATCATCGTCATCCTGGAAGGTGTGGTGGAGACCACGGGCATCACCACCCAGGCCCGCACCTCCTACCTGGCCGATGAGATCCTGTGGGGACAGCGCTTTGTGCCCATTGTCGCAGAGGAGGACGGCCGGTACTCTGTGGACTACTCCAAGTTTGGCAACACCGTCAAAGTGCCCACGCCACTCTACACCGCCCATCAGCTTAATGATGACCGCAGCCTGCTAGACGCCCTGCCCCTGACCTCGGGCCGCGGACCCCTACGCAAGCGCAGTATGGCGGTGGCCAAGGCCAAGCCCAAGTTTAGCATCTCTCCAGATACCCTGTCCTGAGTCATGAACGCCATGGGCCCGGCGAGCTACACGCACACACCTTTGTGTGCTCATGGGCAGTGTGTATGGTGTAGAGAGTGGACAGTGGTGTGGACCCTGTGGCCCAGGCCAGGATCTGTGAGGCTGGGCTCTCCTCAGCTCAGCCACCCCCCCTGCTGCTCGCCCACCGTGTTACAAGGCATTGTCACTACCACCGTGCTATTTTGGGCCTCAGCAAGAGCTAGGTTATTTTGGTCCTTGTTCCTCTCAGCCTCAACTCAGGACTGGCTCACACCTCACCCACCCAGCATTAAGCTGTGGGAGGTGCTGGGACCCAGAGCTGAGTCTCCAGCCAGTCTGAGGCCCCCCAAGGCCCACCAATCTCCTTGGCGGGTAGTGGGAAAGGCAATCCCCAGGTTGGAGGTGTGCTGTTCTATTTCTGTGTCACCAAGAGATGCCTGGGGTCAGCTTCAGCCCTCCTTGATCCCGGGAATCATAATGGGCTAATGGTAGGCTGGCTAGACAGCATGGTTGCTGAGGGAGCAGTTCCCAGCGGACGATTGGAGTTGTGGGGCCTACACAGCCAGGGAAGGGCTGCAGATGCCCTCGTTCCCCTCAGAGGGGCAGACTCGGGTCAGGAAATGGGGAACCACAGTGGGGTAGGTGACATGAGGAGGCTTTGTTTAGCTGAGTCCTGGGACACTTGGGCCATGGGAGGACAGGTGCCCAGAGAAGAGGCACTGGGACCTGTGCCCCTTGCCCCTGACACCAGCCTCTGCAGTGAGGCCGCCATGAGCTGGAGCTATTTCAGCTGCCTGTGTCCATTCTGTCCCCTGTCCTGGGGGAGGGGGCGCAAGTCCAAGGTGAGGCAACAGCTGCTGACCTACCACTCAGAGAGAGGCTGGGGAGGGGCCCTGGAGACCTGCGAGGCACTACAAGCCTTACATGGCTCTCCAATCCTGATTCTCCTGCCCATGGCTGTCACTCACCTTCTCTCCATATTTGGATTGCTGGAAGGGAAGTGTTAAAAAGCTCAGGATGGTAGGGGTGAGCAAGGTCCCTGAGGCAAGGAGACCATTGGTTCTGAGCCTGGACTCATGGGCCAGTGCTGTGTGTGAGCCCAGAATTGCCTTCTCCGCTGTCAATAAAACCTCCCCGTTTATAACCTGCACTCTGGGCTGTTCTTTGCTGGGAAGGCCGAGCTGTTGGTGCATGTATGCTGGTGGACTGGGAGGGCAGGGGCTGGCGACTGTCACCTCCTAATCAAGAGGACCCTAGCAAGACTTGGGACGAGGTCGTGGCTCCTTAGGCCTCAGGTGGCCCAGCCCTCTGGACATCTCATCTCAGCCTTTGGACATTCACTAGACTTCTAGCCCTCGGGTCTGACTCCACTCCCAGGACTCTGCTGGAAGACTGAGGAGCTCAGAGAAAGAGGTGGGGACATCTTATGCATGGTCGTAGTAATTGGAGCATGAACTTGCCAGGCTGCTGCCTGGCAGCATAACCTAGTTCTCTGTAGCTTTAAGACCTGAATCCAGTAACTTAATCCCTCTGTGCCTCAGCTGCCTCCTCTATAAAATGGGGATACTAATCCTACCTACCTCATAGGATTTTGGTGGAGAATAAGTGAAAAAGCATGTTAAGTGCCTAGTCACGGATGTGTTCAATATGTGCTCATGCCTCTGACTGCCATTGAATCGGCCATGTGGCCAAGCCGATATTAAGAGCAGGTCCTTTTTTATTTTGTCTCAGGCCCAAGCTTCTCTGCATCATCGCCTTCTTGATTCAGCGCCCCTCCCAACTCAGATAACATATTAGTTTGGAACTATCTGGCAAGGGTAGAAATCCATCCTCAAACCAATAAACTCTGGTTTATCCTGCTGATTTATTAACGATTACAGGTGCTGGGGCAACACCCACTGCCTGTTTCTTGCTTCAGCCCTCCCCCCAGCAGTGCATGCGAGCGGTCCTGGAAGGTGGTTGTGATCATTCCCTCCTATGTCAAACACATAGGATGTTCCCTGTCACCTCCGGGCCACGGCCAGACTTCCTAGCCAGTCATGTTAGGCTTTACTTGCCTGGCCGGCCTTCCTCTGTTCTCTCGCCAGGGTCCCACCCACCACCCTGGCTGCCTCCCTAGCCGCTCCTTGAACATTAATGACCTTCAGACCTCTGAGCCCTCTGCTGTGACTTCCCAGTCTCATCTCTGCCTGTGGACATCCAGTCAAGGCCAGACTGGAGGATGCCTCCTGGAAGGAGATGGTCCCCTCCCTCTTTGAGATCAGGTACTGAGTCAGATCCAGCCCTGTGCCTGACAATAAGGGCTCAATGAATGAACCAATGAATGAATGGATGAGTGGGCGAATGTTAGAGATAGGATAACAAGCCAAGGCCATTGTGGTAGTGTGAGACCTGGGAGTTAGTCTGGTCTGTGAGGGTCTGTCCAAGGCTACTCCAGAGGGTTCCAGGAACCTGCCACTGCTGGTCCCAATTCTGTTGCCCCATCTGTCACTTCATCACTGAGCTGCTCTTTGTTTAGAGAGGGAAGGGGTTAAAGCACTGCTCAGAACCCAGCATTTCTTGTTTGCACATTTATTTTTAACAGTTTCACCAACGTAAAATCCACACATCATATCCATTTCAGTTGTTCAACCACTGAGCTTGGTTGGCTGTCCTTAAGGCCAGGGGTCAGGCCAAATTCCTTGGGGCTTCTTTTGCTCACCGCCACACTGACAGGCTGGTGACAGTGAGCCTGAGGCTTGCAGAACTGAGGTCTCAGCGACACCTGCTGGCCACAAGGAAAACCTACTTGATGGGTTTTAGGACCAGGTCACCGGTCCCAAAGCTTCCCACCTATTGTAAGGCTTTAGGCTTTGCTTGGGGATGCTGGAAAGTTCCAAGCATGGAGAGGCAGTCAGCCCATGCTTCGTGGACTCCCCTCGCTGGGTTATTTACCTACAGACGATGCTACCTCCGCTGGCAGCACTCCCTCTCGAAGGACAAGGAAATTCCTCTGAGCTCAAAAAGAATCTCTATGAGAATTTAGTTTCTGATACCTTGCCTTCATGGCTGCACCAGTCATCACATGTCAGTCCTCGCCAGCCTGCACCCAGAAAGGAAGTTGCATGAGCCACAATGATCTAGTTCTACAAAGGAGGTGCTGTTCTCCTTAAGAGTCGATAGGTGGGGAGATGGGATCAGAAGTTACTTTGCTAAGGTCTCACAGTTGGTTAGTAGAAGACTCATATTTGGGATCCAGGTCTACCCAGGGCAGAAGCCCTGCGCTCCCCCTGCCACACAATCCCACTTTCAGTCAGGGTACCTCATTTCTCCAAGGGCCAGGTCAGCACAGGGACACAGAGACAAGAGGGGAGTACCACTCCAGAGATCCCTGGGGCTCATTAAGGTCTCACATTTAAGACTGATGGCAGGCTTGGGTGTGCCGACAGCCTACATTCTGTCTGGCCTTTCTAGAGAGCCAGAAAGGTGAAGCCTACCTCTTCCCGCTTGCTCTTAGGCTTCCTTTAGCCAATTAGGTGGCAGTGTGGCATGAGGGGCTACATCTGCCAACTGCCTTCTCCCAACTCACACAACATGGTGTGACATTGTCTCAGGTCTAAGTCCTGAGCCGAGCAGGGGAGAGGCAGCCAGGTCATCTGCTTCTGTAGTGAAATGGAATTGCTAGTCTGGAAAAACTAGCCTACCAAGCATGTGCAGGAGAAAGACAGGGCTCTCTACCACCCACCACGCACCCACCGTCTTGGGGAGTCACAATCAGGAAACTCACTTGGCACTTCTACCCTGTCCTAATGGGTTCCTTTGTGAGGACATCAACTCGGTGGCAGGGAGTTTGGTTTTTTTTAACCCTGTGGAATTGGTGTCTCCAGCCAGTCTCACCAGGAGGCCCACCTATGCCCCACGGAGGTGCCCCTAAGCACAGCAACAACAAGGCGACCCTCTGGCCCTGGCCCCAGAAAGCACTCCCCTAGCTTCTGCAGCACCCACAGACTCTCCTCAGGTGCCTTCTTCCTGCCCTGCTCTGCCCTGCTCCCAGGGAGCTCCCTTTCCTGGAGAGAAAAAAGCTACTCATTGTCACAGCAGAGCAGCCCAGCTCCCCACAGGTTTCTGAGATCTCCGCAGGTGCAGAGAGCAGGCACCCTGTCTTGTATGGAAGCACACAGAAGATGTGCATGTCCTGGTCATGCTGACGCCAAACTCGAGCAGTTCTGATGAGTGTCAGATCGATTCCAGCTTGGACAGAAAGGAAGAGCAGGGGAAACTGGGCTCAGAGAGTGGGGTTTGTTGCCCTAGAAATTAAGCTATTGGCAGGTTCTTTGCCAAGTCCATGAGCCCTGGTGGTGGCGTGGCTAAGCACTGGGGTGCTCATCGCAAGACCAGCAGTTGGAAACCACCAGCTGTTCCCCAGAAGAAAGATGAGGCTTTCTGCTGTCACACCTACACAGTCCTGGAGACTCAGGGAGCACTTCTACACTGTCCCATGGGGCTGGCTGTGAGTCAGGACTCAGCGGCAGGCAGTTTGAGTTTGCCAGGTCTCCCAACCTGGGGCGTTCTCACCTCTCAAACAGTAATAATAAAAAGAAAGTAACATGAGAGAGTGGACCAATCCTGCCCTGCTGGTGGGGCTGCTGGTAAAACCGCACAAACCCGTGGGAAGCAGTATGGTCTTCCTCAAACCATGGTGAGTAGAAACACCATAGAATCCATAACCCCTTGACTTGGTATCTACCTGAAGAAATAAGAAACAGCATAAGCAGACATATGCACACCCATGTTCACTGCAGAACTGTAACCAGTAGAAGATAGTAAAAAGCTAAGTGCCACTCTTGGAAGAATGGAGAAACAAACTTTGGTACATGCACACTAGGAAATTGCCAAACTGTGAAGCCCCTCATGATACGGATGGATTTGGGGGGGCATTATGCTGAGTGAAATTAGTCAATTGCTTGAGGACAAATATTGTATGAGACCCCTGCTATAAAAGGAAAAAATCAAGGCAGAGGTTTCCACACCAAAAGAAACAGATTTTGCACCAATGAAGCATACAACATTCCTCTAGTTTGTTTGTTTTTTAATCATTTTATTGCGGGCTCATACAACTCTTATCACAATCCATACATACATCAATTGTGTAAAACGCATTTGTACATTCATTGCCCTCATCATTCTCATAACATTTGCTCTCCACTTAAGCCCCTGGCATCAGCTCCTTTTCCCCCCTCCCCCCCTCCCCGCTCCCCCCCTCCAGTTCTTTAATGCTTCTGACACCAGTTCTGCATTACAAATCCAGTTAGACCAGAGCATGTACACTGGCACAGATAAAAGCTCTTGACCCACGGAATCCAGGACAGATGAACCCCTCAGGTACGATAGTGGGATAATGGGAGCAGTGATACTATGAGGGTTGGGGGGAGGTGGGAGGAGAAAGGGTGAACTGATCACAATGATCAGTGTATAACACCCACCCACCCCCCACCCCCCCACCCCCACCTCAGGTGATGAACAACAGAAACATGGGTGAAGGGAGACAGCAGACAGTGTAAGATATGAAAATAATAATTGATGATTTATCAAGCGTTCATGAGGGTGGGAGGGAAGGGGAGGGAGGGAAAAAATGAGCCAATACCAAGGGCTCAAGTAGAAAGAAAATGTTATAAGAGCTGTAAGGAAAAAAATTAAAATTAATTCATTAAAAATACTATTTTTTCCCAGCTGGTAGTCTGGTTTAATCCAATATGATGGTTTCAGGGTAAGAGATTCACATGCAAGGGTAGAACAAGGATACATACAAATGCCCCAAACCTGGCCCAGAAAGCTGGCTCATTCACAGGGCTCCTGGGTCACAGGAGATGCTATTGGTTAGGAAGCTGCTTGTGTGTGTGTGTGTGTGTGTGTGTCCCAATTCTATAAAGTTACAAAACCCCACTGAGGAGCCATACACAGAATGAAGTCCTTAGGTGGCAGGGACTCAGCTCATCTCATAAGGCGGTCAGGACACCTGCTCGGGGGTCTAAGAGGACATTGTGCTGGGCATCCCAGACCCTTCCTTCAGCAGAGAGGGTCTGTATCTGGGCCTGCCCAGCTTCCCACTAATTAAAATATCTTTAAGAGCGCCCCCCAATAAAATGATTTTTTTATATAAAAATAAACAGACTTTGGTGGAAAGAGACAGGCAGGAAGGGGAAGTAATGGGAGAGAGGGTGGTGGCATTATAAAGTGCTGTTGACCAGGTCCCCGCCTGGTCCTGTGCCATCCTCACCGTAGCTCACGTGGTCACATTGTTGCAGCCACCGTGCCAGTCCATCTTAACCAAGCATGATGTGCTTCTCCATGGACTAGTCTCCCCTGACGACATGTGCAAAGTACATGAGATGAAATTTCACCCTCCTTGCCTCCAAGGAGCATGCTGGCCGAACTTCTAAGACAGATCCGTCACTCCTTTTAGTAGCACTCTACGGTACTTTCAAAATTCTTCAGCAGCACCATCATTCAAACACTCAATTCTTCTTTGGTTTTCTTTCTTCAATGTCCAACTTTCACATCCATTTGAGGTGATTAAGAATATCATGACTTGCTCCAGGCCTACCCTATTCCTCAAAGTAACATTGTTTTACTTAGCTTTTCAATGCTTTACAGAGGTCTTGCGCAGCAGCTTTACCCAGTGCAATGCTTCGTTTGATCTCTTGACTGCTGCTTCCAAGGTAGACAGGTAGGCACAGACTTGCCATGTGATAAGACAGTTTAAACACAGTGACTTTAAAATATTGCTCACACATTTGAGAGTTGGCTCTGGTGGCAGTACTGAGGTCAGCTAGCTTTGGTCACATGTCGAGGAGCTGAACTGGATGGAGGCTGGCCTCAGACCGCTCTCCGTGGCTCCCATCTCCCACTGGCGAGCTCAGAAATGCCCTCCTCTGGGTGAGGTCCAAGAAAGGGAAAGTGTACACCCAGGCCTCTGGAGGCTGAGGTTGGAGATCGCCACGTCTTTGTTTCCTTACAACGATATAGGCCCAAAGCAGTCAGCGTCCAGCTCAGTGTCAAGGGCAGTGAACAACCGGACAAGTCTGCAAAGTTAAAGCTACACAGCAAAGGGCATGGACATCAAGCCCCACTGTAGGCTGCCACATGACTGTCGTCTTCACATTCATGACGAAGAATGATTGTTTCTGGATGTTTGTCTGTCAAGACAGCAGCTGAATATGAGAAACAAAAGGAGGCAAGAAACATGAGATCAAGCACAAACACTACAAGAAACATTTTGAAATCACCTTTTATCCAGTTTTCTGGTCCAACTGAGAGAATAAGTGCCATGAATCCCTTCGGTAATTTTCTCCCCACCCCCCACCCCACGCCCCAATTAACTGAGTGTTCCATATGTCTCAAAGCACTGACCAAGAGATGTACCGACAATTGCACAGCTCCACCCTGGGCAGGCCTATGACTGAGGGAGATTTATTATCTACAACCATTTTAATCAACACACACACACACACACACACACACTTACCTTGAATCTTGAAAGAACCAGTTGTTTTATTTGCTATTTGTGCCACTAAAGAAATCTGCCATTGAGTTTATTCCAACTCATTTCGACCCAATAGAGGCTTCTTTAAATACTTACAGAAACAGGTACCCTCAGAGCAGCTGGTGGGTTTGAACCACTAACCTTGTGATTAGCAGTCCAACGTTTACCCAACGGCAACTCCAGGGGCCCATGATTTGGGCCATCAAATCCAAAACCCAAACCCCGCGCCATGGAGTCAACTGCGACACAGTGACTTGTGGGTCAATCCAACCACACAGTTACTGTGTGGGTTTTCTGAGACTGAATTCTTATGGGAGCAGATGGCTTTCTCCTCTGGAGTGACTGATGAGCTTGAACCACTGACTCTGAGCTATGGGTCTACCACTGGACAGCATCATCAGGGCTCTGTGATTAGGGCATCTCACCAAACAAAGCTCACTGGCATGAAGTCAATTCTGGCAGTGACCCTATAAGATGGAGTTGACCTGCCCCCGTGGGTGTTGAAGAATGTAAACCTTTACCGGAGTAGAAAGGCTCATCTTGCTCCGGAGGAGTGGCTGGTACATCTGAACTGCTGAACTTGAAGCTAGCAGCCCAATGTGTAATCTACTACGCCACCACGGCTCCTATTGGGCCATGGGGATAAAGCCATGCTCAGGGAAGAAATCCATGCTCAGACCAATAAACTCTGGTTTATCCCGCTGGCTCGTTAACAAGAGGTGAGCATCGGGGGTAGGGGGTGGGGGGAAACCCACCACAGATCCCAAGCTGATGCAGAAGAGGGAACATTTCTGGATGCTTGATCACTCCTAACTGGGAGCACAGAGTTACTAAACACTTCCCGTCTCTGGCCCATGGTTTCTATATGTATAAATGAGAACAAGGCAGCCCTCTTATAGTTCCAAGGCCCAGTTTGAACTAGCAAAACCCCAATCCCATTTCCATCTAAGTGATTCTGACTCATTGAAACCCCCTATAGGACAGAATAGAACTGCTCCTTAGAGTTTCCAAGTCTATAATTCTTTATAGCACAGTCACCGTCACCTTTTCTCCCAGAGAGCAGCTGATGGGTTTGAACCACCACGCTCGTGGTTCACAGCCCAATGCTTAGCCCAGGGGCTCCTTTTAAACCAGGGCTTTTTTCTTTTTTAATCATTTTAGTGGGGGCTCATCCAACTCTTATCACAATCCATCCATCCATCCATTGTGTCAAGCACATTTGTACAGATGTTGCCATCATCATCCTCAAAACACTTGCTTTCTACTTGGGACCAGGGCTCCTTTTGAACTGTTATTATTGTTGGATGTCTAGGCAGCTCCAACTCATAAAGACTCTGTGTACAACAGAGCGAGACAGTGCCTCGTCCCAGTCCATCCTCACAATTGTTCCTATGCTGAAACCCTTGGCTGCAGCCACTGTGTCAATCCATCTCATTGGTAGCTTCCAACCCAAGGGTTCTAGCATTGTAGCTAACAAGGTCCCAGTGCTATTCATAGGTTTTCTGTAGCTAATTCCTTAGAATTGGGCAGCCTATACCTTCTTTGCAGTCTGGAAGCTCTGCTGAAACCTGTTCGCTGGACCTGCTGGTATTTGAAATATCGGTGGCATCGCTTCCAGCATCCCAGCAACAGGCAAGCCAGCACAGCTGGGCAAACTGGCAGGCCTTTCCAACTAGTAAGGTCAAATTCAATCAGGGCCTTAGGGTTATTCTTCGGTGCATATTAAATCCAGGTGGCTTTGACAATCCACATTTCCTCAAAGTCACAAACCACCACATGAAGAAAAAAGCCACCCACCACAAGCACACACCACATTTACAACACCCTGCTACCAGTCCTGAGAACTCCCGACAGCCTCATGCCTGCAGCCACATCCCTAAACCCCAAGGGTTGAGTTCTCAGGGAACTGAACTTCACCTCCGAGCTCCTTACCTTCATCAAAAAGAAATGATAAAAAATTACAAAATAAACAGCAATATTCCTTAAACTAGTCTTCTCAGACTCTGCAAAGAGAAAGAGGAAGGGAGCGTTAAAGGGAAACCTACCGGCAAGGGCCAAGGAGACACAGAGCCGCTGCGAGGATCTCTGTGCCTACGTGTCACTGTCCCCGTCAGGGGGACCACATGTCTCAGAACCCTCCATTCTTACCCACACGCCTCTGCAGATTCATAGTATGTTTAACACCAGCAATCTACCACCACATGCAACATCATGGAGCACACACATGCCACACATCTTCTTGTACTTATAAACATACCACCCAAGCATATGCTTCATACCATACACACAAAAGCACATTCCAATTTCATGCTCCTTATTCACACACACACCCACATAAAACCCCTAGCACCCCTAAACACCACCATCACCACCACCCCCACACACATATACTACCACTAACTTCCATGAGCGATCTCTCACTCCCTCCAGGACCATCCACACCTGGTCAGGCATGTCCACACTACATTTCCTAGGGTCTCCAGTCAGTCCTTGCCTACTCTATTCCTCTAATTTCAGGCAGGTGCATTTGGCCAGTAGGGTCACTCCTACCCTAGACCAAAGCAATGACTAGAGCTCCCAGGATATGAGCCCCGTGAAATCCCACCCACCAAGAGGAAGGGTCTGCAAAGAGTTGTATGGACTTAAGCTAGTGATCCAGTAGAAATGACCTTGGGAATCTGCAGGTTCACCTGACTATTAAATCTCACCCTCCCCCCACTCATCCCCAAACACATACACACACCTGGGGACACAGGCTATAAGTCAAGAGTTCTGGTTCAGCCTCTATCAACCACCAATTTGCAGTGGTTGGACTACAGGCAGGGCTAGTCCCTAGTTCCTAACAGCCCACTGTCCCCAGGCAACAGGGATCAGTTCTTATTCCCAAGCCATAACCCCAGCAGCTGGCAAGCTTCTCTCTTCAAGTGGTATAGACCATCGTCATCTCTGAAGCTGCCAGGAGCAGGCAGGGACAAGTAGCCAGGATGCTTCTTGTGAACTAAAGCCACTCTTCTCCATCCACCAGAGCACGTGGCCTGACTTAGGGCTAAGGCCTGGACTGCTAACTTTAGGACTGACATTGGCCAGATCCAGCTCTGTTCTCTCTAGTCTGTTTTCTGTCCTTCCCACGAATTCCCAGCAAAAGCCTGACATGATCTAGACACCAGTGTTTTGCATTACAGCCCCTTAAGGAAAAGACTAGAGGAAAGGTCCAGAAGAGTGCTTACTGTTCACAATCAGGGTGCTGTTGCATCTCAGCAGGGTGGAGGAGCTGTGGTGTACCACACACTGATAAACATTCCCACGGTCTGCCAGGGAGGACTTCAGCTTCAACAAGCTAGTCGTGCTAAATGTGCCATCCTTGTTCTTGCTGAGGGGAGCTGTGCTGATGTGCTCAGAAATCTCTACAAACCACGGAACTTCCTTGGTCCACTTACTCCATGTGATGGCAATGAATTCTGGGTAGAACCCACTTGCCTTACACTCAAGGGTTATTTCTTCATTCATTCCCACTTTTGCTGTCTCTGGCAACAAGCTGCAGGCTGGATACGCTGCCAAGGAAGAGAAGACCTGCAGAGTTAGAACTAATGCTCACCCTCCTGTTTCTCTTCCCCATGCCTTACAGTAACATGCTTCTGCCGCATCTATGCACCTGTGCATCACTGAGCATGCGGTCAGACAAGACCAAAAACTGTAGGCTCTTTTTAAACACAAGGCTCTTCATACAGTTTGCAGAAGGCTATAGATGTCCGTGAAAGCTCAAAATCTATTTACAGAGTCCCCAGAGGACTAAGCCTCCATTGTATTCCTTCAGACCATTAGCCAAGGATGTAAATTAGCCTTCCCCTTAGCGAGGGTGCATCAGAAAGTAAATTAATACAGATATAAGCAACAACAACAACAACAAAAAACCCAAACTCACTGCCATCAAGTCAATGCTGACTCATACTGACTCTATAAGACATAGTGTTGCCCCTGTGGGTTTCCAAGATTTTACAGGAATAGAAAGCCTCATCTTTCTCCTGAGGAGCTGCTGGTGGTTTCAAACTGCTGACCTTGTGGATCGCAGCCCAACGTGTAATCACTTTCCCATTTTGACCCATTTTTAATTTGTTTTAATTTTCAGTATTTTCTGCTTTCTTTGGGATTGAGGTTTTGCTGTGTTTCAATTTATTATTGTTGCTGGAGGTGAAGGGATTTCTATAATTTTCTTTATGAAATACAGGAAAGATAAATCTAAAGAGACAGTAACTAGAATAATAGTTTCTTAGAGTTATGGCAGGGGAGGTGTGGGGAAAATAGGGAGCTAATAACAAGGGGATAAAAATGAAGAAAATATTCTAAAATTTATTGTGGTGATCACTACAAAACTTTTTAATATATTCAAACCATTGAACTGCATGGTATATGGATTCTATGCCAATAGAACTGTCTTAAAAGGTAACTAATTCATTTAAAATAAATAAGTGTTTTCAAAATAGAAAAAAAAAAAAAAGGAGGCCCTGGAGCACCTCAGTTCCTTTGATGTGATCCAGTTTGTCTGCCCTTGAACAAGAACCGACAGAGGATGCTCAACACAGCCTAAAAGGCCAGCGCAAACTTGTGAGCAAGCCTCAGAGAGAGCAGAAATTTCTCCAGTTATCAGAATCACTACAATTGATATGCCCAGGACTCTAAAGGGAAAAGCGGCCCGTGCATAAGAAGAGATGGATAATGTCATCCGAGGAATGGATTTCCTAGGAAGGAGGACAAGGAGAATGCTAAAAATAAAAAGCCCTGGAACAAAGATGAAGAATGCTTGGATGGGCTCAGTAGGCCGAACACAGCCAAGGAAGGAATCAGCGAGATTGAAGGTGATTTCCTAAATGGAAAAGACATCAAAAAGCAAAAACACTGTGATGCAGGGAGAGGGGCAGGGAAAATATTCAAGAATTGTGGGACAATTGCAAAAGATGTCATATATATATATAAAATCAGAACAAAGAAAAAAAGGAAAAGAAGAAATATTTGAATGACTGAGAATAAGCCAAAATTATTGATTCTGAAACCATAATTCAGAGGCAGAGAAAATCAAGCAGGGTAGTCAAATAGAGATATACTCACACATATAGTTAACTACCTTGATAAAAGAGCTAAGAGAGATGTAGGTAGAGATCTTCCTCCCCACCACTATCATGATCCCAATTCTACCTTACAAATCTGGCTAGACCAGAGGATGTACAGGTAGGAACTGAAAACACAGGGAATCCAAGACAGTTGAACCCATCAGGACCAGTGGTGAGAGTGGCGATACCGGGAGGGTGGAGTGAAGATGGGGTAGAAAGGGGGAAACCTGGGGACGGACAACAGAAAAGTGGGTAAAGCGAGACGTCGGACAGTGTAAGATATGGCAAAATAATAATAATTTATAAATTATCAAGGGTTTGTGAGGTAGAGGGGGAATAACATGAGGAGCTGATACCAAGGGCTCAAGTAGAAAGCAAATGTTTTGAAAATGATGATGGCAACAAATGTACAAATGTGCTTGACACACGGATGGATGGCTAGATTGTGATAAGAGTTGTACAAGCCCTCAATAAAATGATTTAAAAATAAATAAATAAAATTTTAAAAATTAAAAAAAAAGTCCTGCTCACTGAAAGGCAACTTGAAGGCACCACGCGCCCCATGGGCAAAAGATAAGGCTTTCTACTCCTGTAAAGAGTTATTGCCCATAAGCAAATGTGGTGAAGAAAGCTGATGGTGCCCGGCTATCAAAAAATATAGCGTCTGGGGTCTTAAAGGCTTGAAGGTAATCAAGCGGCCATCAAGCTCAGAAGCAACAAAGCCCACATGGAAAAAGCACACCAGCCTATGCAACCACGAGGTGTCGAAGGGATCAGGTGTAAGGCATCATCAGAACAAAAAAATCTTACCATAGTGAATGATGGGGGGAGTGTGGAGTGGAGATCCAAAGCCCATTAGTAGGCCACTGGAGATCCCCTTGCAGAGGGGTCTCGGGGAGGAGATGAGCCAGTCAGGGTGCGATGTAATAATGATGAGAAATACAACTTTCCTCTAGTTCCTAAAGGTTTCCTCCCCGCTCCCACTACCATGACTCGAATTCTATCTTGCAAGTCTGGTTAGACCAGAGGATGTACACTGGTACAGATGGGAACTGAAAATACAGGGAATCCAGGACGGATGAGCCCTATAGGACCAGTGGTGTGAGTGGCAAAACAGGGAGGGTAAAGGGAGAATGGGTAGGAAAGAGGGAACCAATTACATGGAACTGTGTGTGACCTCCTCCCTGGGGGACAGACGACCGAAAAGTGGGTGAAGGGAGACGTCGGACAGGGCAAGATATGACAAAATACCCATTTATAAACTATCAAGGGCTCATGCGAGAGGGGGGAGCGGGGAGGGAGGGGAAAAATGAGGACCTAATGTCGGGGGTTTAAATGGAGAGAAAATGTTTTGAGAAATGATGTACAAATGCGCTTTACACAATTGATGTGTGTATGGATTGGGATAACAGTTGTATGAGCCCCTAATAAAATGTTAAAAAAGAGAAAAGAAAAAAAAAAAAGAGTTATTGCCTCCAAGAATCCGCCGGAGCAGTTCTGCCCTCTCCTATAGGCTTCCTATGAGGTGGAATCAACACATGGACAGTGAGATTGAGTGATACTGCAAGAGCTCTCACCTTAAACCAAATCATCTTAGATGTCATTTAGAATTTTTAAGGTGGAAGTTTTTAGTATACAATAAACATACAATAAAATATGACCTAATTCTTCTTCCAAATGATTACATAAAAATAAAACTACAGAATCATTCCTGTTACCCTGACTAAAAATTCTAATAATTAAACAGGACTAAATTTGGACTAAGGTACAGTTTAAGAAATAAGGAGTACAGAGGTTTTAAATTATGTCTTGTTTCTTTATCTGAATATTTAATACATTTAAAATACCATATGCCTGCAGTTTTAGAATGTCAAATAATAGCATTCATTAACAGCAGGTGTTTATGGTAGAGAAGCAATATTTGGTCTTTATGAATGATAAATAAAGGAAGAATATCTTTCTTCTCTGAAGAAGAGGGGGAAAGGCCTGGTCCCCATTATTCTTTCCCTGACACATGAAAGAATTGTCCCCTTTATTAGAAATACTGTAATTCTTCTTCTGTATTACAATCATGTAAACACATATAAAAAACAGACACTGCAAGGCAACCAAGCGATCCTGAAATAATTCCATAGTGATGGTTACAGCACACACCCATTGCAGGCAAGTGTTCATTTATCTGTGAACAGATTTTTGTAGGAAACAGAAGGATTTCTCCCAAGTTGTCTCCCCCAAATATATGCCAAACTTAGCTGCTTCCAAATGACTATACACTTGGAGGTCATCAGGAGTAGATCAGGGGTCATTCTCCCTAAGAGCTATCAGCCATCCAGACTAAGCAGACACCACTGTTTATCCCACAAGTAGGGCCCACTCCCCAGAGAGGTCAAACCCGTCCAAGGATGACCAAGGTTAGGCTGCCATCTTGAATCTAGGGTCCGCCCATCTTGTCACATGTATACCCCTAGACCTTCCCATTCCTATGGCACACCCCTAGCTCATCCCTTTCCTGTCACGCTTATGCCTATCATACATCCCCTTCCTACGATGTGTATGCCTATTGTACTGCCCCTTCCTGTGACATGTGGTTACCTGTAATCATGTCCCCCAAAAGAGATGTAACCCTTGGTTAGCAATAAAGTTGGGGCGCGCTCCTGCTCTCGCTCCCAGGGCTCTCTCCTGCTTTCATGGCGGGGCGCCCGCCACAAGGACCACCAAGCGGGGCTGAGGTGAGCATGCTACCATGAATTGTGTCTGACTCCATTATTCCAATCTCTCCTCTACCTCTCATGCTCTCTATGACTTTACTATAATCTTTACTTATTATCGCTGTACAATTGAGCCTACCGGACCTGTGATGATTTGTGGGGGACCCTCCTCTCCCCACAGATTTTCAGTAAGCATACTAATAAATTTCAAATAATGTAATGACAAATCGGGGTATCATATCTTACTTTGCTGAATTGCATTTGAGAAAAAGATGCCAGCTGCTTCACTTAGTTTAATACTAGTATACTCTGGACCATATTGTACTTATCTAGAAATGGAGAAGATCATCCGTTTCCCATAAGAAAACATTAGTTTGTCATTGGCAAATATTTGCAAAACATTTTAACACGGTAAAGATGAGAAATTTCAGAACTGGATGAGTGAACAGGTTTCTATCCTATCAGTGCTGAGCAGCCCTGGTGCCTAGTGGTGACCCATGGAGCTGCTAATGCAAGGTCAGCAGTTCAAAACCACCAGCTGCTCTGGAGGAGGCTTGCTACTTCCTACTCTTGCAAAGAGTTCGTCTCGGAATAATCCAAGGGGGCAATTCTCTCTGTCCTGTAGGTCACTATGAGCCGAATCAACTGGGTGGCAGTGAACTTTGAGCAATGCGGATGTACTTCTTTCTACACACGGCCTCCACGTGGCGTCACCTGACATCCATCATTCCCTGTTGA